CCGATCTGGGTTCCTGTATATTCGCACAAAGCTAATGTCGACGCTAAAGCACTCCGAATCCGAATCCCCACCTTTGCGCGGCACGGGACTCCATGCCAGATGATCAGAGTCGGACGACTCCCGTCAAACGACTCGAGTCAGAGAGCAGGAATCAGACATCCCGAGTAAGACAGCCTGAGCCAGACGTGTCAGGTCAGACATCCTAGTCAGGTCCTGCGATCCTGGGCTGCCCGAGTCAGGCGGCCCAGGATCCTGAGACAGCCGGCCCGAGTCAGGCGGCCCCGGCTCCTGACCCAGACGGCCCGAGTCAGACTACCGGACGCCGCTGGCCCTGACCGGGAAGCCGGACAGTGTCAGCCGCGCAGCCGGCGGCCCGGCTGGTGTGGGCGGCCGACACGACGGCCGTGTCACAGGCCCTGTCGGAGCGTCACGTAATCCCGGCCGAGCAGCGCGACTGGCCCCAGACGTCACGCGGGGGGCCGAAGCCCCATGGCAACGTGCTGAACGAACGCAAACGGAATGCGACAAAAACGGCGTCGGGAGGACCAGATGCCCCACAAAACCACGCCACCAACGACGCATGCCGTAGCCATAGCAACGAGCGTGATTCTGTGGTCCTGGTCGGGCAGGTGACGTAGATTGGTCACCGGCGTACCGGGGTCACCGCCCTGACCAGCAGACGTACCGGGGTCATCGCCCTGACCAGCAGACGTACCGGGGTCATCGCCCTGACCAGCAGACGTGGTAACGCCGCACACCGTCCCTCAACACGGCAGAACCGAGACGCACGGGTGGTGCCGTCGACAACAGATACGAGCTGATTCAATCGATGACGCCAGAATTCAATCAGTAAACGCCAGAGGGGTGGAATCATGCGGGCGCCATTATTGGTGTTCCCCAACCGTCTGTCATTTCAAAACGCGCCCGGGCAGGAAATGAACCATTTTCGTTGCGGCGCAGAACAACCTTTCACCGCCCGCCGGCGCCCGCGAAGAATGATTGTGTAGCATGGGAAGCAGGCGAGCAAAGCGGCGGCCGATTTGGCGCGCTGGAGAAAGCGTCCAGCGGCTTTCTGCAGTCGAAAGCGACAACTAACGGCGCTCATCAGCGCCTGGCTGACCGCGGCCAGGGCGTCCCACCCCAGCACGCGAGCGGCCCATCTCGGCCGGCGGCGCAGCCGGGTCAGCGACCGAGGCCCGACGACACGGGGGAGCGGCGCGAGCGCGAGCGGCGGGCGGCGGGCCGCGGCCGCTGACGGCCGACCCGCCGCTGCCGCCGTCACGTCCGCGCCCCGCCGCGGCGACAAAGGCGGCGCGCTCGGTCCAGGTGCCGGCGCCGTGGCCGACGGGGTGCGACCGGCAACAATGCGGCGCGGACGGAGCGGCGGTCGCACTCGGCCATTCAGCGGCGCCCCTCGGTGTGGTGGCGCGGCGACAGGGGCCCACTCCGGTGGAGGCGGCCGACTCCGCGGCACTGTCCGTCCGTCTCAGCTGACGCCCGACAGTCCTCAAAAGTCCTATCTAACATTACAGGATCGAGCAGGCGCTGTCACGGGCGGGGAGTTTTAAGTAACCCATTTCGCCAGCCCATGCGGGTTCAACATCATTTTACCCCTTCTTCATGAGATTCCAAATGGTTCGCACTTAATTTAATGAAAAACCGGAGAGCAGATGTTCACCCCACACGCTCATTTCCCGAGGCCAGGCCTTGATCACCCACGCCCAGCGACGGCGGGTCACTGCGCCTCAGCCGGGCGACCAAAACACGCCTCCCGCAGCGTCGGCGACGAGCCCGTCTCGGCGGCGCCGGTGCCGCATGCTCCAGCCGGCCGGCCGGCGAGCGCCGCGACTGGGCAGCGCCGCGGGCGCCGCAGATGGTCGGCGGGCTGCAGGCCGCCGTCCCAGTGGGTCGTGCAGTCCTAACGGCACACCCGGCTGGCGGACCGGCGCCCACCCGTTCCCGCCACGCTGTATTCCGCCGCTCACGCCGTCCCAGAGAGAGGCGGCGAACGCGACCGTGACGGCCTCCCGGGCGGGCCGTGCAGGTGCAGGTGACCGCGGTCAGCGCACGGACGTGACACCTCACATTATACATGCCCGTCCAATTTGTATGATCGGGAAAATGGACGGGAGCCGGACCAAAACAGACCCCGAAACCATTGTAGCTATGTCTTGTCGGCGATGAAATTCATATCCGCTTCAGCCAGGTCTATTTCTGTCAAACACGACAACTCACGGAGAGAAAAAAAAACTTTCTCGATGGAAGCACCTGGTAGTGTCGTGACCTCCCTGATAGCGCCATGCGCAGATGGTGCGCGCGGTGATTGGCTAACCAACTCTCAGTTTCCCTCTATTACCCACGCCAGCCTTCCACTGACCTCCAGTTTCACGGTATTTGCGAATTTCTTGACATGCCTACGTAACACACCACCCTTGTATGCAAGGGGGAGCGGTAAAACCACCGACGCGAAACCATGCCCATTACTTAATGCCATTTTGCTCCGTTTACGAAATCCATTCATTCCCAGAGAGAGACAAAACTGTGAAACTGGCTTCTCGTTCGGGAAGAATGGTGGACATTGGCACATTTCAGGTGAGATAATACATACGCAACGCAACCGGCAACGTACAGGCTCCACTCGAGCATTTTCATAGAGCTCGCCCATGACCGAATGTGATCCGAGATAACTCAAGAGCAGCGCATACCTTTCACTGCGGACACGTATGCAGCATCGTTATCTTCTTTGTGAGCGCCACAAGATGTCGACTTTCCATCTTGAAGGTGTACGAAACTGGTGCAAGGCGCTGATTAGCTACGACGAGGCCCACTGCTGCTGATCATGGCTCGTTAAACCGGTTTGAACTGCAGTGGACATCATTGCAGTCGACATGAGTCGACACGCAGTCGACATTGCACATTGGAGAAGCCAGCGCGCTACCCTTTATACGGTTCCTGGGAACAGCTACGCTGGCCTCTCCCCGATCCGCTAGGGTGAAGCGATTCCCCTAATCTCGCGGCGCAGATTATCATTATTTGGGTCTTACCGGTATGGCCACTCGGATGTAGTGCAGAGTGTGTAACCGAGCGGCACGCTGTTAGTGTTTGCCGTAACGGCGCAAGATAGGCCATTGCCTGTGCATGGGGGAGTTTGCGCCACAGGCCGTGTGTTCAGCACGAGAACGCCTTGCGTTACAAGTAAGGCAACGGGACGCACGGGCCAGTGGGAGGGCTACTGCACCGCCACACACCCTTTGCCGTCATTTGTGTTTGCCCCGGCGTCCGACCCGTCGGTTTCCGGTCTAGTCCACGAATTTTAGTTGCACAAACGCGTAGGTGATACTCGGTCGCTTCGCCTATCTTAACCAAACACTCACATAAATGCCCATTTTCTGTTCCTCATCAACTGATGTAAAGCTGCCTCTGATTCATGCCCTGATCCTGCTGATACCCTCCAGTGAGGCTCCCAGCGCGCAGCTTAGAGCGCACGGGTCTGCCCGGTCAAGCGCACCTTTACGTAGCCAACAGTCGTGCTGGCCGCGTGCGGCAGTGATGCTGGGCGCCGGCTGGTCTGGCTCCCTGACAACACCGTGCCCTGCCAAGCTTTCCGTATGCGCGGATGCCAACGCAGACACGCCAGCTGAACAAAGACCGCACAGTTTTCAGTTGGACATTTCAATGGACGACACCCGACAGTTGGTATGCATTGCAACACAATCATGTGAAAGGCATGCATGACATGTTGCCTAAATTTCGTCGAAATATTCATCGAAACATATTGGTCTACCACACATCAATGTACCCTACATTCATTCACGTCCCCATGAAAGGCTCAGGCAATTAATGCAAATGACAGTTTCGTATGCACCACAGCGTGCTCAAGACAGATTACTTGTCTACCAAGCAGACGCAAGGGTCATCGAAGTCATTCAACGGAGACCGGTCTGCATATGGACGCTCCATCCAATGAATTTCAACAGCGGACAAGCCTGATTACGAGTACAATGCGACGGCGGGCCCCACTGGCCACACGCTGTCCTGATCACCCGCACAATGGGCGACGGGGCCTGACTGGCACGCTGATTCGCCTCGCGCGGCGTACGTCGCACCACGCGCCGCACGCCACGGGTCATCCCCACACCCTCGCCCGCCCGAGACCGGCGCCGCGGCCGCCGCCGGGACGCACTGCCCTCCTGCGCCCATGCCGTTCTGGCGCCCCTCGGCCGGCTACCTCTGACCCGGGGTCAGCGCCGCATAGACGCGGTGCAACAATGATGGAGTGCGCGGCGGAGCACGCATGCTGATGGGCCGGCGTCCCGCGGCGAGGCCCGGCGCCGCCCGTCATCGCCAGGAACGGCACGTCATCACCCGGCCGGCGGCGGCGGCGGCGGACGCGGCGCTGGCGGACCGCTGCGCACGGCTTGACGGCTATCTCGACCACGCGCGCCCCAGACTGTGCCGGGGACGGGGCCACGCCTCGTCACAGCGGACCTGCCCCGCCACGCCGAGGGCGTCACGGAATCACGTGGTACCGCCGCACTGCCGCGGGAACATCTCCCGGGCGGTGAGCTGCGGCAGCTGGCGTTGCTCCATTTGACACCGGCGCTCGAGGGGCGGAGGGCCGGCGCATCAGAACATGCGTTCGCAAAGCAAAAGATAACGTTAACTCCAGGCAGCTTTGCACTGAACAAAGTTAGCGAAATGTCTCCCCTGACGGTCGGAAGGGTGGTATGCAATAAGGGCGGATGGAAGGGAGGAGGGGGCCGCCCGCTCACCCACTATCTCCAGCAAGCCTGTCATGAGCCATCGGATATTGCTGAAATTCGCATTTTTCACCGGCTTCCAATGCATCAACCGATGCTGTCATTGTCATCTTGTTTCCAGAAATCCTCTAGCACGCGCTAGTTCACGAAAACTACATCGGCGAGGTTCCCATGGTTCGCATGTCTTATTTTGTTTTCGACGTTCAACTTCGACAACAACAGACCCTTATCGGCGCTTACCTGCTATAAGCAATCCAGCCATCCTCCGCGCGGTGCAGCAGTCGATCTCGACCACAACTTCAACAGCGCATCACTCGAAGCGTGCGGAAGTCAACGGTCCGATGGTGATGGAGCGGCGTCTGCGTCCTCCACCTCCGCTGACGACACAGCAATCTCAGCGTCTCCACACCAGCCTCGGCCGACCGCGCCGCTCCACGCACCCCTCCCGCACCCGACGTGGCTCCTGGCGGACTGCCGGCCTCAGTTCACTCCTCGGTCACTCCGCCGCCACGCCGTGCCCTGGGGCGCTGCTGGAGTGGTCCGCTCGCTAGCGACCGCCGCGCCGGCTGGCGAGTCTAGGCCGGGCCGTCGCCGCGGGCCGCGTGCCTGCGCAGCGCGCGGGACGCGGCGCTCTGGCTGGGTCGCCGGCGGCGCGGCACCGCGGCGCCCTGCCGGCCTCTGGTCCCGTACAGCGTGGGCGCCGTGGACCCGCAGAGGTCGGCCGACTGAAATGCGGCGCGCGCTCGGGCGCGTGGTGAGCCGAGGCGACGCTCGCAGGATGCGGTAGACGCGCGCCATAACCACACGAAAGCGAAAAAACATTGCGCTAGATTTACGTCGTCTGGAACGTTTTGCTGGATTCTGGAAAGTTGTTTCATCGGAGGTGTGCAAAAATACGCACAGGAAAAAATGCAACAATGGAACGAGGGTTACGGAGAGTTATTTTCTAACGTGAATAACCAGCAGCTGCCCTAGATATGTGGAACTTCCTCCAAATGAACTTCCTAGCAAAAAAGAGACGTCGAAACATGTTCGCATCCTGTACCCCAAGCTGACTACGCTACACCCCAAATAGAGTCTATGCTTTCCTTGTCAGACAAACAAAGAAAAGTCAAACAAACAAACGGCAAGCAGGCCGACACCGATTATTTGGTTTGTCTGTGCCGCCTTCAGCTGCAATCGATGTGCTGCAGGTTCGTCATACTTCGCTTACAGATGAATGCACCATTTGTCCTGAGCACGTAAAACGAATGGTAATAAAATTAGCGCAGCGCACCTGCCGAAAAGTGCATGACACACCCACAGCCTTTCTAGAAAATCCGTGGTCATGTTGTTTGCAAGAGTTCTGAAGGCCCAGCCGGTCGAGACCCCGGACACAGCTGCAGTTTCCACCATCGGTTGAGGCTGTCCCCCGGGCGCCATTGCTCAGTTCCGGTCAGTCGCCCGGCGTTGCCGTCATTGTTGCCGTCATCTGGCCAAACAGGCCAATAACCCAGGGCGACCACTGCTGCCCTCCGAGCCGTCGGCAGGTCAAAAGACTCGGGCGTCGTTTAGTTTATGAGCCGTCATCAGCTATTGGGACCGTGGGCAGCAGCACGCACCGTCGTCGGTCGCGGCGCCTCTGGCCAGCGCCGTGCGCGCCCGCTCCGTGTTTGTTTGACGTGTCGATCGAGCGCCGCGTCCGAATTGCGTATGAATATTTAACGCATAACGGCCGGGTTGAATTGATTGCGGATTGGAGTCGGCATGAATATTACAGCCCACACGGCAACAGCGCGCAGTCAACATCTGGCCACGCCGGGGCACAGCGCGATGTTGTCCGGCTGCTGTCCTCCGGCCTTCCGGCTGCTGTGTTCCGGCCCGGCTTCACAGGCGTCGTCTGTGGCGCGCCGGTGCAAAAACCGCGACGGGGGCGAGGGAGGGCGTCGGCCGCGGCCGGTGATGTGCGAAAACACTTCCGGTGATTCAGCAAACGCTGTCGCCTCCGTCGCCTGCTTTTTGTGAATATGACCATTGCTCCCATGGGAACAGACCCGGTGGGCCGCGTTACACCGCTTGGACATATTTCAGGCTTCATCGGTTGCGATTTCTATCAACAGTTTTACTCCTCTTGCTGACAATCACTTAAAAGGAAGTTGGATTTGCGCCGTTCACCGCCCAGTGTGCATTATGCTATCAACCAAGATTCGATTGGTAGCAGCGGGGCGGGCAGCAGCCCTCAGCTGAGCTGTGCTCTGAGGCCTGCTGCTGTTTGATTGAGCTACTCGTCAGCAGTCAGCCTACGATAAGGCATGATTTGAGGTTAACCACTCATTATCATTCAGCATCAGATTATATCGTGACTGACGGGAAGAGCGCGGACCCGGCTCAAGTTTCTATACCACACGTGCGTGCTCCATTTTCAACGCTGGTGGAGCGGTGACGTCCAGCGGTTTATCACTTAATCAGGTGGATTTACATAGTTCCAGGCAGCCGAAAATCAATCTAAAGCACGTGACACGTGTCAGACATTCCGCCAGACGTTCTGAATCTGAATCGAAATTTAATGTCACCACACCGTTTTCCACCGCCTCTGATTCGATAAACAAGTCCACCACAACAGGGCGTCGTTCTCCGAGGCCACTCCCACTCCCGGCGCGTGAGACCGATGGACGTGAGACCGTTGGGCGCAAGAGCTGGCAGTCTTCCCCGCCTCCAGCCGGGTGACTCGGACGCTGGCCGAAGCCAGGGCGGCGTCTCGCAGAGCACACCGCCGCCCCACACGTGCAGAGGCGGGGCAAACGGAGCCGTGGGAACAGCGCGTCGCCAACGCAGCCGGCCGAGGGGAACAGCCGGCCCCGTCTCGCCTGATCTGAGCGAACTTACTCAACTCAGACAGACCACGGCCCTCATGCCTGCCTCGGCCGAAATCACTCTGAGCCACTGTGAGAGGAAGTGACACGTCAAAACGCTGCTTTGCCTCCCGCCCTTGCGTCGGATTTACATCCCACAAAAACGCAACAAACACGTCTAGACAATTATTCCAGCCGGTGCAGTGACTTCGCCTGCCACCTGCACGCAGTGCCGGGCATGCAAGAGTAACAGCGGAAGAGAACATACAAGATAGTTATTTCCGGTCTTCTACGTTAGGACCGCTGCGTGTTGCATGGAGGCATACGATAACCCGCACGTTGAATAGTAGTTGGTATGGCAGCAATGAGCCCACATGGTAGTAGCAAGGAAAGCAACCAATTGCAAAGCCTTCATCACATTTTGGGGCATGGGCTGAGAAGCACCGATTGCAAAGTCGTTGGCTACGTTGCGGATTCGTTGCGCACTCGACGAGGCATGCTCGCGCGGTTTCTGCGTGCGTCCCGCCTGGGTCTGCGCGCCTGTCTTGGCCGTGGGCCTCCGTCGGGTGCTTGCCACCCGGGCCTCCGTGACCCGACCACTCGCCGCGGCGCGGGGACAGCCCATCCATCGCGCTAACCGGGCACGTGACTGGCGCTGTCGCGGGCGGGCGCGTCACGTGACTGATCGGCCGGCCCCCGGAAACCGGGCCGCCGCCGCTGCATAAGCGAGCGGGCGGCGGGCGGCCGCGACGCCGTTCCAGATTTCGCGCGGCCCGGCCAGGTCCGCGGACCCCAGCGGGGACACCGGGTCACAGGCTGATGCATGGTGTGTGGGTGCGGCCGCGGCAGCTCCCGCTTCTGAAGTGGGCTCACGTGACCAGGAAACGCGGCTTGTGAGGAGACTGAGAGCTCTTGGCTTGTGATCAGCACCAGGACGTGCTGAAATGACCATTTTCCCCTTTTACAGCTATTGTGGGAGCCCCTTTTTATCCTGCACCCCGCTTCGAACGGCCGCGAAATTGGCCGTACGCTCCGCGCAATACTCCGCATATTTCATAAATCACTAACTTGGCCGTAGGCATTCGCTCTCTTCCGAGACCCGGCATTCCTGAGCTACACTGAAATTAACAGCGCCTGTGGTCTGTGCTTCCGGTCGCGCTACACATATGTTCCCGTGCCTAGAAGTGCCTCAGGGCGTCGTGAAGGCGACGCACAGCGTCCGCGTGCTTGGCCTCGATTACCGCAGTCCGATCGAACCTAGCCGTTCAGCCGCGTGCAGAACGTTGTCGTCATTGTAGCTTTACGTCGCATTAAGCCGCTGAGACTGTATGGCGTCGCCTGCCCCTCTCCCTGTCAGGAAGGGCGGACACTGCGTGCATAACCGGCTAGGCTTGGCCTTGAAGCTGTCAGGGGAGCGTGGGGAAGACATTTGCAGTGCTTAGCGGCAGATAAATGTGTGGTTTTAAAATGTGCGCTGCCATTTGGAAGTGAGGCATTTTCCTTGTGCGTAGCTGTGGCCAACTCTTCGTGACTGAAGCTGTGCATTTCTTACAAATTAAAATGCAATGAAATGACGGCAATTCGGAAATATTGTTGCTATTAAAATTGTGTAGAAGCAGAAAAGAAAAAGCTGAATAGATTCGACAGGAAAAAATACATCCACAGCGGCCAACATTTGCCTTCGTGACATGAATTGGCACAAGCCAGCAGCTGGCTAAAAAATCGACGCAGAAGAGTTATGTTGCGTCGGACTCTAATGAAATTATCACCGAACGTTGCATAGCATCAAATGGAATGCTGTCCTCGTCATTATGGACAACATTTGTCCAGTAAATCAGAAATCGATGCACCCATTCAGGTACAGGTTTGTCATTTGTGACCCAGCCTTTGAGCTTGGGAAGGAAGAGCAATGGGGAGAAACGCCGAATGCACCGTCACGTTGTGACGTCAGAGTCTCATCAAAGCGGAACAGTTACAGCTGCCGCCATGGTGTGGACCGAATGGGACGCGAGCTCTGGTGGGCCCCCAATCACCTGCGGCCCGGAAGTAAGGATTCTCTCGTTCACGACGATCCACGCGCACGTTTCAGCTGCCATCTAAAGTGAGTGGACGGGAGATGGATAGCAATGGTTCGAGCTGTCCGCACTTATCTATGACAATGCTGGCTGCATCACTAGATGCGGTGTCGAAATTGTAATCAAGGCAGTTCTGAAACCGACTGCGACCTCCAAAAAGTGCCATGGAACAGAACAGTGGGCGACTTCTGTGTGTATCGGGCCCAAAGATAACGGAAGTTCTCCCAAGTTGAGGCACCAATTTTTGCTATTTTGTCAGCCAATCTCCATAGTCTAGTGCTGATTTTCACTCGATGCTATGTTGGCTTTTTCAGAAATTTGGGGCTCACTGCCCTAGGCTCCTTCTTTCTGCGTCCCTGATCTGGCCACCAATAGCTTTGCATTTTGATATTGCTCCCGTGACACTGTATGAAGCGAATGAACTTTACAAATGTAGGATTGCTGTTGGAGCCCGACTTCACGTAACCACTTTAGGTATCACCCCTGCCAGTAGATTGCTAAAGCCGCCACCTAAACGTACATGGTTTCGCTATCATGCGATTCACGCAGACAGC